GCCGGGTGGAGGGAGATCGAGCGGGGGTGGGTGTGGAGGGGAGGGAGGAACCGGCGGGATGGGGGGGAGGCTTACCTGCTCCTGCTGGTTCCTCCTCCACTGGCTCAGTTTGGAGCTCCCCCCCCCCCCGCGAGTTTCGCAGGTCGTCTTTCTTGTATATACTAATTACAAAGTAAGCAGCATTGTAGGTTTTTGATAGCCACTGTTTTCATGCCTTTTTAACTGCAAGTTTGCCTTTTGTAAAATAGGGGGCTCAATGTGTACAGTAATTTAGGATTGTGCAATCAGCATGTGTACCAAATTTCAGGCTTTAGGACTTTTGTGACAAATCTTTGTAATTTAATAACCATTACACAAGCAAAAATTTACACATCTATTAATGTGGAATTTGTTGAAATATTGCACATACAAAATTATTCACAGGGTTTTTTAATGCAAGTGTAAGAATACAGTTCTCTGATGCAGGTTATAGCTTAATGAGCTGGAAAAATTAGACACAGCAAAAGGATCTTATTGAACCTTGAAGGCTACAAGATCTATTTGACTGTTTAAAATTTAATCTAAAATATAGCACCAAGAATTACTGCATTTCTTCCACACTCCTACAAGAATGCACAATCCCAGTGCCAGTCTACTCACAAGTGTCTATTCCATAGGGCTTATTCCCAGGTTAACTGGCATAGGATTTCTTTGTAAGAAAGCCCTGTTGACTCAAACAGGCTTTACTGCAGAGAAAGCCCAGCTCAATGACAACCCAGGCTGTCTTGTCACCAATGCGCAGGACCAGTTCATGGCAGTTGGAGGAGCACCCAGAAGCACCTCCAAAATCAGGGCCAGCCCAAGAGTTCATCCAAATCGGGGGTCAACTCTCTATCCCAGTCTCTCCACGGCACGACGGGGCTACCCACTAGTCACCCTGACTGAGGTTCCAGCATCAGTGGCCCTAGTTGTATCAATGACTCCACCACCAACTACGTCAAAGCGTTGGCAGCAGCAGACAAGACCACAGCTGCAAGGCCCATACAAGGCTTCTCAAGCAGCTATCCCAGCAAGCACAGGTGACTCCACAGGTACATCACCCTCCTTCCTTGCCTTGAAACATATTTTGCCCTTTGTGTGAGGACTCATTGGAGCTAGGCCTGGCTGCTTGCTACTGGTCAGGACTACCACCACCCTATGAAAGCCCGTGTGGTGGTGTGATTAATGTCAATGGCAGATGGGAGGGAGGATATGACACTGGAATTATAAACTGGTGAGATAAAGGTTTGGGGAGCACATCCAAGAGATCCTTGGATAACATAAGAGTCATATAGACTGATGTGAGAGGTCCTGATGCTTCTCCCCTGTGGATTATCAAAATATAATACTCTCCCTCTCCCATAACACTAGGACTTGGGGGCACCCAATGAAATTTTTGGGAAATAGGTTCAAGACAGACAAGGAAATACTACCATACTCTACAAGTAATTAAACAGTCACTGCCAGTGGAGGCAGAGATGGCTATGACCACAGATGACGATGGACTTCTCCACGAATCTCTCTAACCCCCGTTTAAAGCTACTTGTCACAGGGAGCCTCCATCCATAGAGACACCAAACCTCTGAATATCAGTGCTGGGTGGCAATACCACCAGGGCCTTGGTTTCTATACCCTGTCTGTTGGCCCTCCAGGGTAATTAGTTGGCCACTGTACAAAGCGGTATGCTTGACTGGATGAACCAGCAGGCTCTTATGTTCATTTCTTGCTCTGTTTTCTAAAGAAAAGGATTATTCAAGAAACTTTGCTTGGAAGAGTTCCATGAAGGTTTCTTCAGGACCAAAGCTGAATCAATTTCTTTGTCAGTCTCTTCCAATCTAAAAGAAACAAACAAACCCATAAGCATGATTAAGTCATTGGCCAGTATGTCAGAAGTCTAGTCTCATATCTAACGGAAAAAGTTGACCATATTTCTAGAAAATAACTGAACTTTCTATGGTGTATTTCCATGGCATGATGTGGTCCATGGGGTCGCGAAGAGTCAGACTTGACTGTGCGACTGAACAACAACAAAATAATAATTTCACACTGCTGCCTGTGGTCAAACAGGCTTACTAGTGTTTTTTGTGTGTGTGGGGATACAATCCCCCTCTGAGAAATGTGCTTATCAGAAGGTACTGTCCCCTCCTTTCAAACTACTTTTAAAATTCTGAAAAATATATTTTTGTTGGTTTATATGTAATACTAGCAGTAAAGCCCGTTGTGAAAGCAATACAACGGGATCTAGAAAGAGGCTCTGGGGCAGTGCTCTGGCTTTGGGCAAACAGTGTCAATTTGCTGTGGTGACCTCAGCAGGGTATAATGACAGAGTCCACTGTTTTCTCCAGAGGAACTGATCTCTGCTACCTGAAGAGCAGTTGTAATTGTGAGTAATCTGTAGCCCTCACCTGGAGATTGGCAACAATTGTTACCCAGGACAAAATGGCTGGTTTGGAGGGTGGAGTCTATGGCATTCTACCTGTCTGAGGTCCCACCCCTCTGCAAACCCCACCCTCTCCAGGCTCCACCCCTCAAATCCCCAGGAATTTGTCAGCATGTAGTTGGCAACCCCATCTCCTTCCTAGCTAGTCACCAACCTACCATTATCTGCCCCTTGGACTTCAGCTGACTTCTGCCCTTCCTTCTGCAGAGCAGTTGTAATACTGAGTGCTCTCCAGCCCTCACCTGGAGATTGGCAACAATGGTTCCCTATGAGGGACTGACTGGTTTGGAGGGTGGAGTCTATGGCAGTGTACCTGTCTGAGGTCCCACCCCTCCTCAAACCTCACCCTCTTCAGGCTCCATCCCTCAAGTCTCCAGGAATTTCCCATCTGGAGTTGGCAACCCTATCAGGATTGGCCCCAATGTGTTTTCTCCCAAAGGCCAAAGTAGGTGACAGGACCAAGCTTAGTTGCCTACCAACAGGCACTGAGGGGAATGTAGGGTTGCCAGCTCTAAGGAGGGAAATACCTGGAGGTTTGGGGGGTGGATTCTGTAGAGGGCCGGCCGACGGAGGCCTCGGCCTTCTGTCGCCCGCCTTGCCCCCCCAATCTCGGCCCGGGCGACTGCGTCCCCCGCCAGCGGCCGCCCGACTCCAGACCCCCCCGCGGCCACTCCAGC